GTGAGTACTGAATCTTGATCACCCATTTTGTCCTCAACACTCTTCTTTCCCTCCTCTTCTTCCTCCTCCTCCTCACTGTCACACCAAAACGACGTATCCTAACTTGGGACGAACATATCTACACAATATAATTTTCCCATCTTCAGATCCCCCCCCTCCCAGATTCTCATAAGGATGCACACCGCATTGGATCCTCTTTTTTGTCTCGATTTAATTCTCCGTTTAAAGCCATCTCGACATACTAGAGCAGAAGAACCTGTATAGAACGCGAATTATATATACCCCTCAATGTTACCTAACCTAACCTAACCATCTCGACACACTGGAGCAGAAAACCCTGTATATAATAGTAATAATATACCTGTCAATGCTACTTAATTTCCTTTGGGGGTCCGGATTGTTTTTTGACTGCTGCTTGAGGTATGTTAAGTTGTCCTTCACACGTCCAGGTAGAGCGAGGGTAAGGTAGAGCGAGGATAAGGTAAGATGGAGCGAGGATAAGGTAAGGTAGAGCGAGGATAAGGTAAGGTAGAGCGAGGATAAGGTAAGGTAGAGCGAGGATAAGGTAAGGTAGAGTGAGGATAAGGTAAGGTAGAGCGAGGATAAGGTAAGGTAGAGCGAGGATAAGTTAAGGTCCAGAGGAGAGGCAGTTGCTGGGTGGGGAGAGGGAGGTAAGGGCAGTGTTTACTTGTAGTGCCTGAGGTTTGTGCTGCCGCGGTAACCTGTTTGTGGGGGTTAATTTTAAATATGAAATGACTGGGTGATATTTGAGAGAAGAAGAAGAGAAACTGGTTCTTATGTAAGGCGAGATTAGTATTATTGTTATTATTATTTGTATACAATAACACGTTCAAATATACAATAACACATGTACTGTCTTCAAGCCCTGATCTCTGGAGACCAAGTATTATCTACAACACGTCTAATTATTTATTTATATGAGCTATATATAAACAACAAACATCTATTGAATTATTTAATCCCGCAAGTTTCCAGTCAACTACAAGAATCAGGTGTTTGTTTGTTTGTTTTTATCCCTCGTAGCGTTCACAATCACACGAATTTACGCCTTAATTCAAACATCAACAGAATTATATTACTTGATTGTGTTATAGTGAAGACCCACGCCGGAACTACTCATTACCAACACACACACAGGAAAACAAATTAGGTTGACCTTTTATAAGTGAAGAATTTAGCGGTCTACAGAAGCAATACAATAGAATGACTTGCCACAATGTTTTATAAAAGATGCTGGGAGTCGAGTTGTCTCTACCTTTAATAGAAGATAATATAGATAAGAAAGTAATAGTTATACAAGATAAAATTAGTGAAATAATAACAATAATAGATAAGATGTGTGAAAGTTGAATTACTATGAGTACTGTATTTGTGTCACACCACCTATAACACCCCACCACAACCACACCCACACCACAGCCACACCACACCGAACCACTAACACCTAAATAATTTATTCCTGACAAACAAAAATCCTGGTCGTTAGGTCAGGTCAGGTCATGGATTTGTATAATGGTTGACCTAAAATTATGAATCCTCCCACCCGTACGTAATTATAGGTAGGTGTGTGTGTGATGGGGCGAGTTTTTATACCAGGTGAATTGTGTTTATCAGTTTACAGGTGACTTTAATGAAGAGATTCTTGGCTGGTAGGAGAGAGAGAGAGAGAGAAAGAGAGCTACATGTCTTACCGAGTAGTTTAATAACACGTGTAGAACCCCCCCCCCACCAAAAAAAACACCACGAACGTAAAAAAAACAAAAAAACACACATAAACAAAAGACAAAACTAGACTAAAAAATAAAAGCATAATAAACATTTAAAAACAAAACCCCAACTAAAATGAATGAGGACAGACAGACAGACAGACACCATCTATCACACATTATTTGAGTGGCCCGGCAGCGGATATTGTGAGAGTGGACGAGAGATAAACCCCAGAGAGATTGTAAAGATGGGGGGGGGAGTGAGGCAAGACGTGAGTGTTAAGTGTGAGGGAGGGAAGGAAGGAGGATAGAAGGAAGGAAGGAGAGAGACAGGGAGGAAGGGAAGAGAAGGGAGGAGGATACAAGGAAGGAAGGAGAGAGACAGGGAGGAAGGGAAAAAGGATGGAGAAAAGAAGAAAGGGAGGGACAAAGTGAAGGAGGAAAACAGGGAGAGAGGGAAGGAGGGAGGGTAGATAATTATGTTGATAAATAATAATAATAATAACAAATCTGTCTGCATGTGTGTGTCTAGAATAGTCTTGTAATTACATACTGTACTAGTACCTGTACCTGTATTAGTGCTTGTATCTGTACCTGACCTATTTTTCTTTATCGTAATTATCAAAATCAGGTAAATCAACAAACTCACCTGAAGACCGACACCAGACGGTACCTATAGGTATTATCTCAAGGTTAATGACCATTACTTTACCGTGTCTCACCTGTGGTCGAGTGAGAGGTAGTAGATAAGACTGGAGGTAACGTGAGGAGGTGAGAACTTATGGGGGAGGGAGAGAGAGAGGGGATGAGGGAACGAAGTGGGAAGGAGAGAGAGAATGAGGGGAAAGGGAGTGGGAGGGAGAGGGAGTGCGGGAGAGGATGAGGGAAAGGGAGTAGAGGTTGTCAGGGAGAGAGAGACTGAGGAAGAGTATCAGGTCAGGGAGAGGGAAAATATATCAGGGAGAATAAACACAAAAGAAAATATATCAGGAAAAGTAAACATTAAAAATAACATCAAATGAAGTTAAGTGTTATTAAACCATTAATATATAGAGTCGATATCACATTAGGTCCTGGAGTAACAGTATACAGTACAGGTGTTAACGAAAGGCAGGTGAGCTTCTGGCCCAGGTAAAGCTCAAGGGGGTCAGTCTGTACGGAGGTGGTGGGTAGTGGAGGTGAGAGAGTTGGAACGAGAGAGAAAGTTTAGTAGCTGTGTGTGAGGGGAGGGGGGGGGGCAGTGAGGATTTCGTATAGGAGATAAATAATGGGTTCTGGTTTTCATGAAGACACTAGACAGACACAGACAGACAGATAAACCACTCAAGTCCTGCTACCACTGGGTGAGGCTCCCCTAGTCGACCCAACTGCTAAAGGGTACTCCACTTCACAGACAGAGCACTGCAGTATTCACCACGTAAATCTCACTGTATTATGTAAATTTTTAGAATATTTATCATAATCTACGGAGAAATTAAGCTAATCCTGCGTTAGCGTCGTGTACAAGGGTAAGAAATAAATGAAGAGAATGATAAGAGTTAGTTAAAGATGACATAGGAATAAAAGAAGAGAAACTAACCAGAAAGAGAGAGACTAAGAGAGAATGGATGACGTATAGAATGAAAGAGGAAGCATTAAAAAAGAGGAAGACAAACTCAAGAAACGATAAGGGAGGTGGAGGAGAAATCATGACTAAATGAACATAGGAAATATTTAGTGTAGGTGTACTTCGACAGGTAGACAGACAGACAGGTAACAGGACTAAAAATAAAAGAAGAAAAGATTATTATTATTCCGTTATATAGAGACAAGAGTGTGAGTGAGTGTAGGAGTCAAAGGTGAGATAGAGAGCGAGGAAAAAGTGGTGCTTGGAAAATTGAATAAATGAGAAGCGTGTGTGTGTGTGTGTGTTGATTTATCTTCTCAATACCCCTTTTTACAGCTTTTGATAGATACAGACAGACAGGCAGATAGATAAATACAGATAAATGAACACAAACAGACATAGATAGACAGACATACAAAATAGACAGACACTCATTAACACAACACATATCTACCCATCAACATGTTAATACTCTATCCAATATAATCAACCCTTTACACAATAAGACAATGATCAACACTAAACCTGATAATATAATGACGGTAATTTACACACGATAAACACTTCATCCATTAATATGTTTATGGTAATGTGATTAAGGTAACATTCAATAATTGTCATATGCAAATGTTATGTAAATTTTAGTCAGTGTTGTTAGATGAGAAACTGAGTAAGTTGTTGTGATGTGAATTGAACTCTTAAGGGTACAATCGCTTACATTTATACCTGGTACAGTGGGTGATTGGTTTTGTGAAATGTGGCACCCCTGGAGTTGAGGGCATGAACCAATGAATCTAAAATGTGAGGTATACATCGCCCCTCGCCAGCCTGTCTCCCACATTTTGGCCCAACAACTTTTACAAGGAGGTTTAATGTAGCAGTGAACTCAAACTTATCCATCCCACTTGATCATACACTACTTGTTATCGTCTTGCACCCTCGCCCCACCACCCACCCACCCTCTCTCTCCTGCAGTAACTTAGTGATGTGTTTGTGTGTATTTTAGGTACGTTTTAGGGGCTGGGGGGTAACTTGGGTGGAATTTTTGGGAGTGTTTTATCTTTATTGTTTTATGGTTCGGGTGAGTTAGTTGATTAGTGAAGGTGTTATCTCAGATGATTAAAGGTGGATTTTTTTGTGTGTGTGTGTGTTAGGAACTTCCGGTGATTTAGCGGCGTTCTTGATTGTTATTTTAGCTGGGATTATGATAGCACAGTCTCTCTCTCCCCTTTTGCCTCTCCTCCTACCCGACTTCCTCTCTTCTTTATTCGTCCCCTTCACCTCCCTTTCCTTACTTCCTCTTTGTCTTTTCTCTCTACCTACCCCATCATCAACCATCTTCCACTCCCCTCCTCACCCTACCCCTCATATCCCCCCTCCCTTTAACCCCTATCCTAACACCTCCCTACCCTCTCCCCCTGCCCCCTCCATCTCTTCCCCTCACTCTTTTCTCATCCTCCTCACAAGCCCTTAGAACGATGCCTTAAGCCCTTGAGTACAAAACCAAAACCTTTGAGTACGATACCTGAGCCTTTGAGTGCAATGTTTTAACCCTTTGAGTACGATGCCAATGTTCTCTGGGAAATTAGCGACCGGTTTCACAATCATGAGAACACATTAGTGAAGTAAACCTAGGGTGTGTGTGTGTGTGTGTGTGTGTGTGTGTG